TATATATATATATATATATATATATATATATATATGTATGTGTGTGTGTGTTTATGTTGCATGCGCGAGTGTGTATTATGTGTGTATGTATATAATGTATGTATAATATTTTGGTGCATCAACACAGGTTGATATTCTTAACCACCATGATCATGAATATGAAAAAAATAATTTTGAACTGTAAAACTAGTCTATTTTGAACACCTTTTTTGGGATTATTCATTTTAATTCTTCACATATCGCCAGATCTGAACTATTTTTTGGAGTTGAAAATATGTGGATCTAAATCGAAAGTGCATTAGCAATGATTTAGGATGTGTTTCAGCTCCTAAATCCATGGAAAACTAAGGTGGACTCATGCATTTGCCAATGTATAATAAACTTTTCCATGCATATGCATCACACACAAGCTAGACGGCCCGGATCTACATGGTAGTTTTTTTTTTGTTGGGAAGACCCCCAATTGTTACACATGTTGGACTCATCTAGGAGCTTCAAATAATAATAAAAAAATGATATGCACAAAAAATATAAGGTCAAATGTGTCCATATTGGCCCTCATCTGTCAATCTAGGCCATCCAGCCTATATCAATATATTTATATTGTAGAAAGGCCATGTACCTTAGGTAGAAAGTACCCAAAGCCATCAGTATAAATTAAATACTAAAGGGTTGTTTATTGACTGTGCTTAACTGCTAAGGAAAATTTTCCTTGGATATTGTACAGACCTCGGCCCATAAAGTTACACATCAGAAAAATGATGCCTTTACCTTTTTGTACCAAATGTAAATGGTTTTACTATGTATGGTCTATATAAGCCAATTGGCGTATAGTGTACCATAAGCCACTTTGAAATGTGTTGGACTCCAAATTTTGCAGAGATGTAGATCTCATCTAGGTGACCAAATTAAAAATAAAAAATAAATTTATGCAAAACAAAGGGGGAAATGGTTCTGCCATTTTCCTTGAACTGAGGCCTTTCGTTTGGTGGATGGTGGAGAACTCGTATGACTTTTATTTTATTTTTAAAAAAGTTACTTATGTTTTCCAATCAAAGATATAGTGCAAAATTTCAGCCCTAACAAATCTCTCTTGGTACATGTTTTAGGTCTCAAATATACCGACAGCTATATGCCTGTTAGATTTGGGAAAACAGGTCCATGGTTACAGCTTAATTTCCTGGTTTGGATTTCAATGTGTATTTCGTTATAGTGCTATCAGTACTTGTCCTGTTTTGATAGGTGGTTGTGTGAACAAGCCATTTCATGATCTTTCCAATAAATCTGAGTTTATTTCCCATGTCTGTGCTAAAAATGCAACTTTTAGTATGTACATGAGATTAGTCCTGAAAAAGATGTAGAGAGGGAGAGCGTTTTTATTTGGATTGGTTTTGTCTGGTTGTGCTTGAAGGTCTTCCTACAGAGTGGCCATAGAGAGAGAGAAGCAAACTGACAGATTTTTACAGGGAGGGATTTGTGATATTAGAGAATCTTGCCAATTTGCATCAGTATATTATCGCTGTGGAAAGGCATATTTCTTTCTTAACTACTTCATCTCTCCAAATTATAGTCCATTCAATATAAGACTGATCATCAAATTTTTATGATTATTAAAAATGTCGTCATAGCCAAATTCATTGTCCTTTTTTTTAGTTTTATCTCCGAGCAAACAAATTGCTAATCATTTTTTCTGTGATGATAATAGAGCCTTGATGGGAAACCCAGAACTGCCGGAACAAGACTGGCAGCCTCCTATGTGAATTTTTACATCGCCAATGGTGGGATCATTGCTCCTTCATTTGGAGACAGGAAATACGATGATGAAGCCTTCCATGTTCTTTCTTCTGCCTTCCCAAATCATGAGGTTTGTGAGCCGTTCCCCATTTATTTATTGGAAAATATACTATAATGCAGTCGACTGTGAAAAGTTCAGAGTCCTTGGGTCACTATCCTTCTTGAAATTGATGGTGATGTAGAGTTCGAGACCCAGAAAAACAGGACCCCAACGATAGATCCCATTCTCTCTCCATCACCATCCATCATTTTTTTTTAATTTAATGAGTTATATGGGGTGCGACACACGGATTTCTCGGGTGATGACCTGATGATCAATGGGTAGTCCATTAGATTATACTGAGCAAAATGGTGTTCTTTCCTTTTACTTTTCGGTCCTAATTGTGTTTGGGTGCTAATAACTAACATTTTTCTTAAATGCTAAATCATTTATTGTATTAGTCAAAAGATTGTATGCTCCAGTGGGCATATACTCTCTCAAGAAAAGTCCCCTATCCAGAAGTATTTTTAGGAACCCAAAATTTGGGGGACGTAACTCCTCAATCTAGCTACCAACCTTTATAATAAATAAAAATAAACATAAAAATAATAATATATATAATTTGCCACCTGCGAAAAAAACGAACATCCTAAGATTGAAAGGATGATATAAGTTTTGGACAATCACTTATTATAGCTTAGAAACTGAAAAACCATTCTTTTTTTCTCTTTTGGAAACACTCATTTGGGGATTCTGAAGTGGATCCCATAATTTTAGGTCGAGAAAATAATCTTAAGTAGGTCTTTCACCCAAGAGAGTAAATATACAGTGTGCTCTCATAGGAGCCCTATATGCAGTCACTGAAAAAATGGGTGGAATGCAGGTTATAATGATAGAGGGCGCAAGGGAAATTTGTCTTGCTGGGGGGAACATACATTGCATCACACAGCAGCAGCCAGCTTTCCCAATTGTGAAGGTGATGCAGTCTAGATGATCACGCTTGAGTATTTGGAGCGATTGGATCGTGATCGCAAGAAGAAGAAATAAAAGAAGATTTAATTTAAAAAACAGTGGATTTTTTTATGATGGGGAAATAAAGTACAAGTTAGAGAGAGAGAGAGAGGGAAACTTTTTTGTGGGTTTTTTTCTTTTCCCCTTGTGCTTGTTGGTATGTGGCGGAGGGCTTGGATCCGTATGTTTGTGCTATCTTCTAGCTGATTTTTTCTGATTTTTAATCTCTCTAAAATGCGGTTATGGTTGTTTTGCCGGTTATTGGCACCGGTAATTTTCAGCTGTGCCAGAAACTGCAAAGGCCAGGTAATCTTTACTGGATGGTGGCAGATGCATTTACCAGAGAGAGAGAGAGAGAGCGCGAGAGAAGGGGGGAAGGGGGGCAAGTTGTACACTGGGAGCACAGTATGAGGAGCAGAGTTGCAGAACCAGATGTTATAAAGTGCATTGAGCATCCATTGTTTGAAATACTGCCCTTTTAAGTAGAACCACTCTTTTGCTTTTCTTTTGTAAAGCACAATTGTTATGGCTATCAAAGGGTCTATAATTGATTTGAGCTGCCCTTGTAGGCAACATTAATGGAGAGGACGGAAGTGCTCTGATTTTAAATCATTTTGGAATCAATCAATGAAAGTATGATACAGACCACACCTATGCTTTAATCTATGTTTTGCTATCCCTACCCAAAACATGGGTAGGAATTACCATCACCTCAGCTAGCCACAGTCCACCCGTGACCAATTTATGAATATTTTAAGAAATATTTAGTGCAGTTCTAAGAAACAAAAATTTTGTCTCGGTTTTTGTTTTTTGTTTTTTTGTGTAATTCATGTTGTATCGATTTGAAATATACAACTTGTATTAATTAGAAATATGCATCAAATTTTAATGAAAAGCCCATACAAACTGGGCATACACCGCGAAGAGTCCCACAGGAAAATATAGTTTTTTTCAAAAATGAAAATAAGAAGGGTTTGGAGAGTAGGATATGTGAAAAGGTAGGCGAACTGTGAAATTGTTTAATTTTTTAAGTGTAATACCCCACTTTGCCACTAATGCAGAAGGCCCAGCCCTTGGCCTTCTTTTCACATCGATAATATTATGTTGCAGTGGCTGTTGGTGCTAAATCTTCTTCTGTTTGTTGGATTATTTTTCCTTTCTTATCTCTGAATAAAGGAGGTTTGAGTACCTGGGCTTATTGTTTAGGGCATGAGGCAATGGTTTTTGAAGATTGCCTGTTTTGAATATGAAGATGAATTATGGATACAGTTTTGTTGGACTATTTCTTTTATAGCACGTAAGCCATGCTCCCCCAGTCAAAAGACCTGCTTGGGGGGATTTTTTCGATCTGAAATTTTGGGAACCACTTAAGAATTAATTTGATGATTTTTTTTCAAAAAAAAATGAAATTTGAGTTTTTAAATACTTGGATCTCACTATCTAAAAATTGGATTTTACTACGTTATTTTTTTCAAATACATAGAGGATACAATTACGATTTTTTTATTCAGATTAATCTACATGTTGAAGAGGTTACATATCCAAAATTTTGGGTCCTAAAATTAATTCTATGCGGAGTTTTATTTAAGGAAGTATATATGGACATTCTACTTCCACACGAATGTCTTTTGGCTTTCTATTACGGTGTATTCTATAAACTTGCTCTATACTTTGAGACATTTGATACCTCTACTCTTCAATATGAGTGATCTTTTGATTAGGAGGTTTATGGGATGATTGATAAAAGCAAAAGCATAAAGTTTTAACTGAGACAAAGTTATTTATTAAATTGTTACACAGGTGTGGCATTTTCATATGGAATATCAATTGCTTTGCAACAACAAATAAAATGCATTGTCATATCTTAAAAATATCTAGTTGGATGGATTTTTTGTTTCTACGCAAGTTTTTTATTGGAAAAGTAAATAATTAAAAAATATTTTAAATCATGAAGGCTTAGATCCATCGTCTATCTAATGAACAGCCTTCATTCACCGAAAATGATGGACTCAAATCCCCACTTATTTGTCCAAATAAAAATTTACTTTTTTATTTTTATTTTTTATTAACTAGATGATATCTAAATGTGATAAAATTTGAAATGTATTAGTTTGGATAGGAAAATTATAAAAAAAAAACGTTTATTTTTAGCGCAAGGACGTCACAAATCACCTTTGATCATTAGATATGAAATTTGGGCAGTTACGGATATGTGATTATCATGCATAAAACACAAAATAAAATCTTTTAAACTATGAGACAATCAAACTATTGGATTTCACATATAATAGCTAAGACTAAGAGTGATTGCGTCCTCCTTGTAGTAAAGTTAAATGATTTCGTAATATATAAGATGCGATTCTCATTCGCTATGCTCGCTCCATTTCTGTATAAGTTACAATTCTCATTTGCTATGCTCTCTCCATTTCATGTTATTAAATTTTGGCCGGTCATTTTCCAGATTTATTGTGGTAGGATCGATGATGGTAAAGGAACCTTCCAATGCTCCTTGGACCACAAATTAATTATTTTATCTGGGTTTATGTTTAGCCAAAAGATATTTTAGTCCTGTAGGAGTAGAATATTCATCTACACCTTTATGTAAGATCCGACTTCAAATCAATTTTAGGACCCCAAATTTTAGGATGTAAGCTCTTCAACCCATAGATTAACCTCAAAATAAAAGAATCCCTCATTGTACCATCTCTCACTTGAAAGATATATGTCTCCAGATTGAATAGAGACTGTCCAATTTTTAAAAAGTAAGTTTTAAGTGTTATGAAACAGTAATTTTAATTTTAATAATTTCTAAGTGGTTTCCAAAATTTCATATTAAAAAAGTCCTCCTAAATAAGTCTTTTGGCGGAGGGAGTAGAAGTGAACTATACTCTCGGAAGGAGCATAGTATACATGTGGCAAAAACTAGTCTTGTTCCGGTCACAATCATAGTATGTTTTATGCTCTTATAGTTTCTGACAAAGAGTGGCTCCGAGGCCTATGAGTTTAGAGCGAGAGAGAGAGAGATTTTTCCAGTTGAGTGGAGGGGAAAATTATATAAAACCCCCAATAAGACACTTCTTATGCAACTTTCTCAACACAAAAGTTTCTCTCATTTTTTTTTTTCAAAATATACTTACGCAGAAAATACCTCCACAACAAAAAGGCACATTTTTTTTTAAATGAAAATGTTTTTTTTCATAAAAAAAAAAATTAATTTTGACTGGACATTCACATAGGCATATGTACCATAGAAAAAACTACATGCCAGACTGTCACAAGCCAATTGTCGGACCCCATTTAACTAAAAAAACATGCTGGATTGTATTCATTCTCTACCGGACTGCATTGTATCCAAAAAAAATGTGCTGGGTAGCTTGTTCAATTTGCCGGACCGTACCTTTGTCTAGAAACAAAAGTGTCAGAGCGCATGTCTATTTTGTCGGACCGCTTGTTCAATTTGTTGGACCACTGTTTTGACCGAAACGAAAGTGCCGAATCACGTGTCTGTTTTGCCGGATTGCAGTTTTGACTTGAACGAAAATTGGCGGACTGCTTGCTTTGAATGCCGGACCGCAATTTTGAAGAAAACCAAAGGAAAGCTGAGAGAGGGACCTCTTGTTTTGACAACCCGACCTCAGTTTTGAAGAAAAACAAGGAAAAGAGGATAGAGAGGCGTGGGTAAAATTTTTAGGGCAATTTAGTTTTTTTATTTTTTTATTTAGGGGGTATTATTTAGAAAAGAATGTTTTTGGCGAAAAAAAGACAGAAAAGTTAGTTTGAACTTTGAAGATAAGTTGCATACGGAGGCTCCAGTTGGGTTTTTTTTTTTGTAATTTTTTCATTAAAACTTGCTTTCTTACACTTATCAGCTTTCTCACTCTAAAATTATATAATTGATGTAGGCTATGTTTCTCTCTCATGTGACAAGCTTCTTATTCAGGGAACTTGTGCAGCTATGAGAAGCGTACTCTTAAAGGGCCCAATCAATGAGTGACTCATTAATGGTGATTAAGATTGGAGAGTTGTCTCTGTAGATCTCAGATGATGGTTTAGAGTTTAGTGTTTAGAGTTTAGGAAGAGAAAGCACGTCCTGGGAAATGGGGTGCTCTTTTTCAGGCCTGAATGCCTTGTATGATGCTGTTAATGGAGGCGGGGATGTGTGGATCAATGAGAACAGGTATAGGATTATCAGGCAATTGGGGGAAGGGGGTTTTGCCTTTGTTTATTTGGTCAAGGAGGTCGTGGCCGAGGGCTCTGTCAAGAAACTAAAGGACCCATCTCATATTTCTGGTTAGTTGGATCTTATGACCCTTCAAACTAATCGTATTTTTATAGATTTGTGATGGTTTACTGTGCTTTGTGGGGTTTGTTTTGTTCCTCTTCCTCCGCTTTTATTTGGTTTGAGCTGATTCTTTTGTATTTTGGTAATATTTTGTATCTTAATATCTTTTTTGGTTTATGGGCTGTGAATTGTGTATGTTTTGTTGATTGGCAAAAGTGGGTGTCTTCCTTTCTCATAATTTCATTTGTATTTTTTTTTTCTGGGACTTTGTGAGAATTTTCTCCATGTTGGGGAGCATTGGATTTATTAGAAATATGAAAGGCCAATCATATTGAATGATATTTATTTGGACTAATACCACTTCATTGTCATAATTGTGTATTTGTGTGCTAATACTGTGGTTGGGAAACGTTTAGTGTGGATTCAGTGAGGTTGGATCTGGGGCATTTTGAATTGGGTCATATAGCGTTTTTGGGATCAGGAGAAGAAACTTATCTATTTATGTCTAATAGAAAAAAAAAAACTGTCTATTAATAAATTTGCTTGTCAGCTCCGATGTAATTGACTGGAACAGTGTATATTCCGATGTGCCAAGCTGTTCGCAGAGTGAATTGAGAATTATCTTTTATTTTGTTAATATATTGTTTGAATCAAATTATCTGAGTGGGAGATTGGAATTCCCTATTATTGAGCGGGAATTTGGAAAAATTCCATTGGTTTCCTGTAATTTTACACATTTCTATTTGAGTTCATGATAGTCCCCAGAGAATAGAAACTCGTTTAGAGTGTGATAAACTCACCAGCATCCACTTGATTCATCCAGTGGGTGAGTCTATAAATGAAAAGCTTGGTGTGCAGCAAGTTTTTCTTTATATACAACCTTTTATGTTGATCTGACAAGTACAATGTCTCTGCTAATGTGTTCATATTTTGTGGTATGAATCAGGTCACAACCTGGGTTCAGTTTCTTCTACAAACACTTTGATATGTTTAGATTCTTCACAAAAGGATTTGAAAAATTTCGGACTTTTTCCAAGTTATTTGTCTAGGCTAATTGAATCAGTTCCAGCATTCACTGAGTTCGTCGCCAACTTTGAGTTTTTAAGCACTGACATACACAGTATACCAGAACTTGGGCCTGGTACAACATTAACCCTGTCAGCTGGTTTTGGAGGTAACTGTGCCTGCATTGCGTGCGAGAGTTAAGAATTTGGAGAGAATAATTGAAACAGTATCACTGGAAAGTTTGAGATCATTGCTAAATAAAGAAAAAAAATCTAGATGAAATAAAAAAAGGAAATAATTATCCCATGCCTGGAAATATTCTTCTCAGGTACTGAAAATATCTGGTCGAACCTGCTAAAGGTCTCATGAAATTTTTTGAAGGCTTCTTTACTATACAGTACAAAATAAATTTAGAGACTAGTTTCCTTATTTGAAGGCTATCTGTAGCAAGATTTTGTGTTATGAACATTATACAAGAGTTAGGTTTAAAATTCTCCTGAGGCAACTTTGGCCAAAACATAAATGTCTGCCTATCTTTTTCTTTTTTTTCTCTTTTTTTTATTTTAAATAATTTATTAACAGTTTCAGCTTAACAATTTATTAACTCAGTATTGACTACTTAATAGGATTTAATACTTCATAGGAAATATTACACTGCTTCAATTTTGTTCAATTCCATTTTTTATTGTCTGTAGTTGATATTGATCAGAGGAAGGAGTTTGAGGCCTAGAAAATGGCCAAATGGCACATCTCTGTTCCAGTAGAATGGCGCCTTTTGCAAAGTTATGGGCATCTATCATATATATCAATATGTAGGAGAAAGATTCCATTTGCAAATGCAATTTGGATATTAATGTCTCATATATGGTGTTTTTATTCTTTGTCTTGTACTTCTTAAAATTTTGTTGTTCAGTATTTTATTTGTGACCTAATGAAGGTCAATGATGACATGCACAATCTCTTCTCATGTGTATTGGATATTGCTGTTAATAATTCATGCTAGTCTTAGCATATTCGTAAACACAGTTGGAAAACTTGATAGTTTAGACCAACACATCTTGCTTCAAAATTGAAATGGTTAAATTATTCTTAATCTGGACTTTTTGTCTTGTGGATGCAAACTCTTTTATTCTGATTGCTACTAAGAATTTACCCTACCCTCATACCTTATTCAAGTCTTCTGACTTCGCTGACTTCTTCAAATCATGAAATTGATGCAGATAATGGAATGTATGCAGTGAAGAAGGTCCTGATTCAGACACCAGAGCAGTTAGAGTTGGTGAGGCAGGAGATTCGAGTCTCATCACTTTTTAGTCACCCCAATTTGCTTCCTCTTCTGGATCATGCCATCATTGCTGTCAAGGTTGTCCTTCTTCTGGTTTAGTTTGGTTCTGCATCTTACATTATGGATAGTGGTGCACATCTATGATATCGGTTATTCTAAATCAAACTAGTTTAAATTTGTTCTAGCCATTTGACTTTCTATTTTCAGGCATACGTGAAATGATAATTTATATGTAGTACTTTTCTATTCATTGTTATATGCTATTTCCTACCATACACGTCCATGAGGGCCAAACTAATCAATTTTGTTTGTGCTGTTCTTTTGTCATAAATGGTAAATTTCCATGTTTTTTATTTTCTGATGAGTATGTTAAAGTTTATGCTTTTAATTTCTCTTTTTTACCATTGTTCAATTACATGGCTTGGACACAGGCCTCGGCCCGTGTGCTTGTGGATTAACCCAGGCAAATTCAAATGGACTCACCTGAGTCCTCCCCGAGTCCAAAAACAAGCCCAAACAAAATGAGAAAAATAAAAATACGAAAATTTTTAACAAAGAAAAATTATAAAATCCAAAAAATATTCATAAAAAATCTGTATAAAACAAGAAATAAGAAAAAATTCGATGTTATTGGCTTGTAAAAAATGGAAAATATAAAAAACTAAAAAATAATAAATTATAAACAATAAAGTTATATATAAAATAAATTATAAATCAATCATATTTGAATTAGTAAAAAAATAATTAATTTAAATTGAAAACATGAAACATATTTAATATTTTGAGGCCGATTCCCCTATATTTGCACTCAGTGCAAATTGATGCCCCAAATCCTTGTTAAAACTTCCTCATACAGCCGAATCAAAGCCCCATTCTCAATTTTGGGTTTCGAGCTCCGAACTCTAGAAAATTTTGGATGAATATTACTAAAACTCTTCTTTTCTATTTTTTTGTTTCTTTTTGTGAATCAAGTCCATGGTTGGATTGAGAACACAAAAATACGCTTGGTACTTAATTTTGTCAAATATTGACCATCGATTGTGAGGAAATCACACTTTTCAAAATAGGCCAAAAACTTGGCTAATTTATACGATCTCAAAATCTCTCAAATCCGGTGTTTGTATCTCAATTACATTGATTCTAGCAGCTAGATCAGGTTAAAAACTACCTAAGCATGAAATTTTGCTCAAATGGGCAACCCTAAAGCTCTAAATTGAAGAAATAAAGGAACACCCCACCCAACCAAACGCCCCCCGAACCCTCCCCCACAAAAAAAAAAAAAGCCCCCCTTTTAAACTTACCATTGAACAGTACTCAGAAAGTATTGTAGAACTTGGATGAGTTTGCCAGTGTTCTATAGTACTTCTGGCAAGTCACTACAGTACTCGCCCGAGAACTGTACAGGTACCCCAGTCCCTCATTTTGTGCATTCATACTTGGCTTGCAGGGTGCCAAGGCTGAGTAACTTGGCCGAGTCCGATTTGACTCTGCTGGGTTTTTGAACACTGCTTTTTATGCATCAGAAAACCTGTTGTTTGTGATTCTTCCTGGACATTAATCCATCCTCAAGCCCCTCTTTGTGACACCTATGTAGTTGTTATGCCTTAAATGTTCGGATTCCTCTTTGAAATTCACTCTTCTTTTGCCATCCCTCTCCAAAAAACAAAATGAAAGAAGACAAGCACACTTCCTACTTCCATCGATCAACTTTCTCTCTCTGTAACTCCAGTTGCCAACCAGTTTGACTTTTAAGAATTTCGTCATATCGAAATATTTCAGGGTTTAGCTTGTTTGTTTAGTGGTTATGATGTAAACAGCACCACAACAAAATTTATCTTAACTTTGAGTCCTCTCTCTCTCTCTCTCCTCCCCCCCTCCCCAAATCCTTCCCTCCCTTTCTCCCTCTCTCTCTGTCACACGCACACGGTGTGTCTGCGTCTGTGCATGTGGCTATTTTATTGGAAGAAATATCTTTTGACATGCCAGCATGTTTAGTGCATCACAGAATCTTTAAAGAGTTACCTGTAGTCATTTTGGTAGTGTGATAAGTTCGATTGATATACAGGTTATATCGATTATCTTGCTGATTAAGTGCATGCTCATTTTCCTTATTGGCTCAGGGTACACAAGAAGGATCATGGAATCATGAAGCATACCTGTTATTTCCTGTTCATCTGGATGGAACTTTGCTAGACAGGGCCAAAGCTATGAAAGAAAAAAAGGAATTCTTTCCGACTCTTACTGTTCTTCAAATATTTCAACAGGTGAGCTGCTTCTAATTATTGTTGGAAAAATATGATTTTCAGAAAGCATTGTTGTATCCATCATTTTCTTGTAATGGCGCACTGGCAGGTATGTGGGCATGCATTTGATTAAATAACAAAGTATTTCTAGTTTTCTGCTATTATATTTGCATCATGAATTTTTCTCCTTGATCATTATCTAATTTCATTTATGCAAAAGTAGGAGCATGGTTATTTCCATATAGCTCATGGCTGCAAAAAACTATGACACCTTCAAAACCTCCCAATCTACTTTGACCGACCAGTGAATAATAGAACAACCCTGGGACATGATTTATGTATATTACCGTAAAAGAATTTAATCTATAAAAATTATTCCACTCTTAACTCAGCAGACAAGGAGTTCCTTTGCTTTGTCATCTTACTAAAATCAAAAGTGTCAGCCTTGGTAATAATATATTCACTAAATGCCTACAAATTTGGGTTCAACTAATGGCACTAGAGCTTCCTCTCTTGTGTATTCCACTCTGAAAAGAACGACCATAGCATTTCAGAGATTTTCTATCATTATCTTTGATTACTCCTCCATAACACAATGGTGCAGTATTACCTTTAGAAATTAGAACTGCCAATTATCATTGAACCCCTTAGCCATTACTAGGCGCTCCTCTGAGAACAGGTTCTCATTACATGTTGCGATTGATGTGAATCTATTGTTCTTCTCCTTTTGACCTCAATTCAAAACTGGTGCCTAACATGCCTGTAATCTCACCTCTTCAAATAATGTTTGAATCCTTATTCTGTTGTTTGGTACTGCCTTTTGAGAGTATAATTTCTTTTCTAGTTAAGTGGTACTTACTCACAAAGGTAGGAGTCAATCTGGTTTGATCTGGCTTTAGAATAAGTGATGCAAAAAATCATTCAAAATATTCTGGTACTCATCTGACATCCATTGTCCATACTTCCATGGGCTCTAGAGTTAACTGTTTCTGCCAAAAGTAAAGAGCGGCCATAAAAGTGGTCTGCAGCTCAAACCCCAACACCCCCCCCCCTCCCTGAGGGGTCCTTGGACAAACATAGACGGTATGTTGGGTCCAACTTCCCTATCCCATGCGCGTAATGTGTACTTGAATATTTTCCCATATGCTATATAATAAATAATGAATCAATGTTATAAAATTTGCTTCACTTCAGCTGAAGAGGCCGAAGCCTTTGGATTTAGGTATAAACCAAAGAGAAGCGAAGCCTGGTGCTGCTGCTTCGGTCAGATTCGGGCTGCTTCGATCAAATTCGGGTCTGCTTTGGGTTTGCTTCAAGTCTGCTTCAGTCAGAAAAAGAAATAGCTATATAAAATTTTTTTTTTTTTTTTTGTTTATATATTTATTTATTTCATTATTTGTATCTATTATATATAAATATCTAAATTATTTATATTAAATGAAAAAAAAGTCCGAAGTCTTCCCTCGAATCGGTCGAAGCACTGAATTGCTTCATTTTTCTCACCAAATCGAAGAAGACTGCGAAGCAAATTTGACAACATTGGAATGAATCGTCCTGGAAGCACTGCATTCTACCGCTCCTTTTTTTTCCGGTTAGTTCAGCAGTATTAATCGAACTTAGGACGTAGTGGTCCACTCAAGCCCAAGCACGATTTCTACACTACACCCTACCACTCAGACGTGGGAAAATCCTATACCTCTCCCATAAGCTGATAGATGAATTTCATGGAAGTGTTCCTATTGGTTCCCCACTTGAAACTAACAAGTTCATTCCCACTTTTGCAAATATACTTCATTTTAATCAATCGTAAGTGACCACTGACTATTAGCTATCCATAACTTCACTAATTTCTCCATCCTCCAAGTGCCTACTTGTGCATGGCTCCAGATAGCAACCTTATCTCTATCCTCATGAAGATCAACATCTTATTATCCCTATTCGAAATGTCATTTGCAATCTGTGGGAAGTTCTTTGTCACTTGCCTTTCTATAGGGAGCTACAAAGTCCCTTGTATTTCCCTTCTCAACCATAGTTATTGGAAGCAAGAGCGGGATCAGAAGGGATTCACCGAGCCGCCCTATAGTGGAAGCTCCCTGGGCTTAGGATCGTCATCCATACAATGAACAAGACAAGGAGTGAGATCCTTAGGTTTATGGGAGTGAGATTTGATGTCAATGGGTTCGATGTTTTGACTAGCAGGAATCTAAGCTCCACTATACAAAAAAAAAAAGAGGTTACAAGTAGAGTTAGTGCGAGTTTCCTTGGTTAAGGAATCGAGGTTTAAGTATGTCATATAACGAGGTTCTTCCTGTTCTAATATCGAGATTCTTAAAGTGTAGGAATCAAGGTCCTCAGCTGATTGGCCCGAGGTCTGCAAGTACCATTCACCAGGTATCCCTTATCAAGTGCCCCCCGCCCTTAACAATGGATTTATTTATTTTTGTGTGAATAACAATGGATTAATTATGTAGCTAGTCTTTCAAAAAGCGCTAGACGACATCCAGGAGGCCGCGGGGGTCCAAGCTGCCCAGTGCCTAGGCGGCTGCTTAGGCGGGCGCTCAGAACCTGGGCGGTCCGGTTGAAAAAAAAGAAGAAGATAGAAGTTGAGAAGAGATGACCATAATCCATATTTTTATACAATACTAAAACAATAAAACCATACAAGCATACACTGATAGTATGATACACACAAAAGTTAGATAGTAGAAACTAGAAAGTAGAAACTAAAAATAAGAAAAAGAAAATATACAGAAATTCAGAAAATATACAGTCTAGAACACAGTAGTCAACACCCAACAGTCAACAGTCAACACCAAGAGTCAAGCACTTAAGCGTCTTCAACTCTTCATTCTTCAGTCATCATCATCATCATCAGAAGGAATGGGTAAGCCTCATAACTTTTTTTTTGCATCAGATTCGTGGCCGTCATCATTAGAGTCATCTCCCTCTTCAATATAACGCTCGTCCTCCTCTGTTTTATTTGAATCTGCATCTTCCTCTTCCTCTTCTTCTACCTCCCTCTTACTATGTGTAGATGAGACTCTAGGAGTCTTGGCTGCTCTACCCTTTTCTATCTTTTTGTGCTTCCCTGGACTCAAATATTGTATAATTTCCTCTCTGGTAGCCTCAGGAACATTTTTACATGGGGCAACATCCCCTTTAATACCGACAAGGCGTTTTTTGAACTTGTAAATACCCCCATTAGTATCATTTCCACAATAATTGCATTTAATACGATTTTTGTCATTCGGATTCGGGTTATAACCATACTTCCAACCCGGATCATCACTTCTAAAAGAACCTGGAGAAGATATTTCCGTAGAACAAGGTTCATTTTCATCTTTTTTTTGTTCTTCTAAATTCAGAAATTGTCTAATCTCATCCTGAATGGCTTCATGAACTTTTTTACAAGAAGCAACATTCCCTTTAATACTGGCAAGATGTTTCTTGAATCGATTAATACCCCTATTGGTATCTTTTTTCACAAAAATTACCCCTTATACAATTTTTATCGTTTGGTTTCAGGTTGTGACCATACTTCCAACCTAGATCACTTCTTCTAGAAGAGCCAAAAATAGATCTATTCAAATGACGAGGATTTTGTTCCTGTTTTTGTTTTACAGAACTCATATATTGCTTAATCTCCTCTCTGATAGCTTCAAGAATATTTTTGCAAGGGGCAACATCCCCCTTAATACTGGCAAGATGTTACTTAAACCTGTTTATGCCATTTTTGTATCTTTTTCAAAATAATTGCTTCTAATACAATTTTTGTTATTTGGATTCGGGTTATATCCATATTTCCAACCCGGATCTCCACTTCAACTGGATCCTGAAGAAGACATCACAAAATAAAACAAGCAATTTAAAAAATAAAGTTCTGCACTTACTTTGATTGCTTGAACTCCAAGCTCCCACCTCTGAGATGTTTTCTGGTGCTAAAATATTCAAAACACCCTCTAATAAGATGAAAAAACTCCAAAATTAAATCTAATCTACCCGGGTGATGTTTGGATCCATTTTTTGTAACTTTGAGAAATACTTCGATCCAATGAAAATCACAAAATCTAGTTTTTTTGAGGTTTCTTTCTCTCTAAAATGGGTTCTTATGGGTTTAGATTTCAAATGAACCTAAAACCCATCCTTAAAAGCTTTTATTTTTCAAAAACACTCAATAGAATAAAAAAACAAACTCATTTCCGCCCCTAGGCAGGGCGCAGGCCCAGGGCTGGGAGTTGGGTGCCCGTCTAGGCGGGTGCCATACGGCCTAGTTAGCCGCCCAGGGACTGCCGCCTAGTTTGGCCGCCTAGGCCTGAGTGATGCTCGCTCAAGCCTTCTAGACCGCCTAAGCAGCCGCCTAGGCGCTAGGCGGTCCGCTTTTTTGAACAATGTATGTATCTCTATATGTCAATTTTTCTTAGGACCACTACAACTTCAGCATGACTCAAGTTTGGTATGCACTATTCCCTCTGAGTCCCTGGCAATCCAGAATCCTACCATTCAAGAGTCATCTTCTTCAAATGTAGCCTCCTTTGCTTCCATTGTCTCTCTAAGGCTTGGCTCTTCGAAGGGCAAGAGGACAAGATGAACTACTCTCTCTTTCTCTCTCTCTCTCTGACTGATGTAAAAGAAGCTTTTTAAAGCTTGAAATGAAAGCATATATTCTCATCTCACAACTATATTCAGATTTAAGACTCTAAAACAATAGGAGATCATAAATATAACATTTAAATGAAATATATATTCTCACAATTAAGAGGGATGGCTCACACAATAGGACTTAATAAAACAATGGGTCACTCTAGACTTTGCGTAACTCAAATTAAGAATCTAAAATAGTGGAACTTCGTGCTATGCAAAAAAGGGACTAGATTTTAACATCATGGAACTTGTGATTCCTAAATAATGGGAACTTCGGACAATGGCAATCTCTAACCGAATATCATCCGTTAATGAAAGTAGAACCCACAAACATGGAATCCAAGATTTTGATGTACCAAAAGTTTGGACCATAGTTGATGGGAGCAAGGATCTATTCGAAATGGAACAAGATTCCATTGATGGATGGAACGTGGTACCCTTTCTTTGGGAGCGAGATCCCAAAATTTTACAAACGGAGTCCCTACAAGATCCCTTGCAAGAACCGTGGGATCGAGGTTCCGGAGCAGGATCTTCACACCCTACCCACAAGGTTTTCTTAACCATGTTCTCAGCTTTTGCTATGCCATTGTTGTTGTTGGTGAGTCTCATAAACCATCTAGAAAGCATGGCACAATTTCTTACTTTGGTCTTTCCAATTCTGCAAAGCCTTTCTGTGATTTCAGTTTCTAGTTTTTTGCTACACCTTAAGAGATATGCATTCATCTCAAGACTCGCACTTGCTATTTCCTAGTCGTAAGTCACTGTTTTTGACACGATTCATTGCTGTTTTCTTCCTTTTTCATCTTGGTGGTTGGAACTCGAGTAGGTTTCTATGTACGTCATATCATTCTATCATGATTAACTATCCATTTAAAGCATCAGTTATGAAATATTTATGAAGTTGTTGCACCAAAGATGGATGTTTCATTCATGCTGAGATGGTGAACACTGATCACGTATTGTAGCACATTGAATAACGCTTTACTGAAAAGATACTACCATTGTTTCCCTTCCTGGTCACTCCATATACCCTAAAAGCATGATTAAAACAATGCTTAAACAACACAACAACTGACTCAATTTAAATATCTCCCCTCCCTAACTTGCCTCTCAAAAGAAAACACTTGAACACGGGACATCACGTATCAAAATATGTCCCTAAGCAGTGGTTCTAGGCTGGAAATTAGATGAGCAAGGGTTATGATTCAATCCTACAACCTAGCATCAGTTCACTAGACATCAGACCAATCATCACCAACCCTAAGACTATCCTTAATCTAAAACTGTGTGTTGACTAAGGTGTGCTGTCACCATTAAGATATCCTGGACCATCTATCGAACTCTCTTCTCCCTAATTGACATGGTCGTACTTACCTGGATTGTCTCCAACTTATAGGCTCTGTTCTGCTCCCAAAACCTCCATAGTGCTTTGATTCCCCTTGTCCTTGGGCTTCCACGTAACTATTACTTTTTTACGTAGGGATTCTATTTATAGTTTATTATGTATGAGAAGCATTATGATTAACTTAGGTTTGTGCAATAGCTATGTGCAGGGCTGAAGCATATGCACAACTTTGAACCTGCTTATGCACATAATGATGTCAAACCTGGGAATGTCTTGATAACTAACAGAAAAGGGCAGCCACCTCTTGCAATTTTGATGGACTTCGGCAGTGCAGGGCCAGCGAAAAGGGAAATCCGCTCTCGGTCTGAGGCTCTACAGTTACAGGTATTGTATTTCTTACACACATAGTACTCATGATTATTTTTAGTTACTGTTCCTTTGACTTATGAATCTCTGCATGTCTAGGGTATGTCCTTTTAGTCTTTACCTTCATGCTAAGGTGTGATTAAAAGAACTGGATTGCTGACTAAAAATTAAAAAATGATACGGAATGATAGAATATAGATAGTTTTCATTTGTACATCAATTTTCCCATTTATTTTGAATTTTTCTTGGATTTATGGCGATTCCATCTTTCAATCTTTCAAGTTTGATTAGATTTGGTATGTACAAACCCCAATGAAGCAATGATGCGAGACCAAATTCTGAAATTTATAGCCTTCTATGGTAGGGAAATCTGAAGCAATGGATATTAGCCGTGAATACAGCAAGTTCTGGTTCAGGAATTTATAACTGTGAGAGGACCTTCATGAAATTCATACAAGGTTTAGAATTGTTATAAATGACCAAGAAGGCAACTACATATTTACTAGAGCCTGGTTCCTGGACTTTGTTGGATAATCAAGTTTTTTGGGTGCCTTTTCTCCTTGCCTATTATCATTTATGGCAGACATCCCTACTCATGATACTATGCATGCTTTGGCACTGCAATAACATAACCAATTGTGATCTGACACCAAATTTTATGATATACAATAATATTTAAAACTTCAGGACTTAAATGTTCTGCAACCTCAAGTGCAAACTCAATGAATAACACTTGGGCCTTTTTCCTCTGGATAGAAAATGAACATTGAACCCAGGAAATTATGGATAAATTGGAAGACAAATGACAAACTTGTTGAACCGTGACAGCACAATTAAATTTAACTGAAATGATCTTTCTATGGCATGCACAATATGAATTGATCAGAGAAAATTATAAGCCATTATTTTCTGCAGATTTTTGTCATCAAACTTGTTACAAGATTGTCAAAACTTTCTCTGGGAATCATTTTCTTTGCCTAGTTTGCCTAGAGTAGCTCCTGTTTAGAAATAGGCACACACTTGAGTCTTTTTTTCAATGTGAATAGAAGCTTCCCATGTAGTATGGTGGACCATCAACTTTGATTGACCACCAGTGGAGCCACCAGTGGAGCTTTTTTTTTTTTATTTTTTTTTGTTTTGGGCGGGGGGAGTGAAAAGGGGAGCAAGAGGTTAAGTTAGCTGGCTCTGCCTTTGTATTAAAAAAAAAAGTACATAAAAATTAGGGATAACTGTCCATCTCTAGGAATGGAAAAGAGTGAAAGGTGTGGCTATGTAGAATTCCACTGAATAAATTCAAAATATCTTTTCTCTTTTCTTTATTAATAACTGAAATTTCTGCTTACAATTGCCACAATGCAGTGCAGAAACAGAAAATAAACCTACTACAATCAAGGTTCTTAAATTCTTACCATCAAAATAAAGCTTATTCAAAAACTGAATTCAAACTTATAACATGATTCTAATACAATTAGGAATTCTAATCCAAGTAGGAGTTGAACTCCAAGTAGAAATCCCTATCCAAATAGGACTCTTAATATAATTAGGACTTCTAAAACAAATATGAATCAAGAACTAAAATAAATTGATACAAAAAATCTAGGAAGACTTACTGAACCTTTGCCTAGGGTTACCCCATTAGCAGTTATCACACCCGACACCCCATTAACGAACTGATGGCATACTCAATACTTAGGTCTACGAAATCCACTAAACTGGGAAGCACCTCTGGTATGCCCTCTATGCAATTACAGGGTTGAGGGCATGGGCTACTAGAGCTAGGGTTTCTTAGGCCTTTTAAACCTTTTGGGGCATACTGTTATGTGGCACCAGCTCTTAACCAAAACAGGTCCGAACGTCCCCTATCTGTGCCATAGGTGGTATGAGCCACCTCTAGGTCTCTATTGGTGGTGCGTGCCACCTTAGAGAGAGAGAGAGAGAGAGAGAGAGAGAGAGTGTCGAACAACGAAGTAGAGTGAGTAGGGTGGGTCGTACTCTTATTATAGTCGTCCTACTACGTCCGTACCGTAGTACTCTTCCTAGTAAGTAAGTAGTA